GTGTGTGTGTGTGTGTGTGTGTGTGTGTGTGTGTACACATATTCCCCACTCCAGGGGCTGTAACTAACATCCTGACATAATTACCTTACATGTGTTCGTGTTCCCTTGTCTCACTGTCGTTGGATTGGAATTTAGCTGACGGTGCTTCTTCTGCTTCCAACCACAGCAACAACCTCATTACCGGTATCTGTGCCTAGGTGCTTACAGTTTGATCTCCCAAAAATAGGGATGAAGCACACCCATTACCACAAAGTAGATAATAGAGATAATATCAAAGCTGCTGCTAACAGAATTATCCGAGAACCGTGGTTAGGTTTGTTCTAGTCTCAAACATTTGACTATAAGATGAAAGGAGGGGGCGCCTGGGTGGCTCAGTCGGTTAAGCGGCCGACTTCGGCTCAGGTCACGATCTCACACTCCGTGAGTTCGAGCCCCGCGTCGGGCTCTGTGCTGACCGCTCAGAGCCTGGAGCCTGTTTCAGATTCTGTGTCTCCCTCTCTCTGACCCTCCCCCATTCATGCTCTGTCTCTCTCTGTCTCAAAAATAAATAAAAACGTTAAAAAAAATTAAAAAAAAAAAGATGAAAGGAGACAGTTTTATATGAAGATTTTATTAAGTGTTGACCTTTTTGTTGCATTGAATGTCATATTTAGTGCATCTCTCTGTTATCTCTATTTCCCTCTCTCTTTCTTCTGTAAGATAGTGGCTTTTTTATGGCTCATGAGTTGTGAAAAATATGCTGAATATATTGATTTTAAGCTTCATTATCCCAGGAGTATATTACTTTCTGTGGCTCCAATAATGGATATTCCTCAATTAAAGAAATAAATAAAAAGATTTAATCATTGTAGAACTCAACTGAGAAAGGTGTCAACATAAAGATTGGGGTGTTCACTGGTAACACCCTTCATCGTTTCCATGTTGGTGACGGAAACTGCTGCTCTTCCTTGTGGCTCTGTGTTCTTCTCCACGTGCTGATTGTGGAGGTGACTTTTTAAAGAAGACTCCTTGAGAAAGCTTGTTACATGTTAGGAAGGAAGAACCGATAGAAAATGAGGAAGAATGAGATGTTGGATTAAGAATACCTGAAACTTGACTCGAGTTCTGTCATTCAAAGTGTCATGTTAAAATTTCATGAATTTCCTAGTGTTATTTTATTTTAGAATATGTATTATCCCTTTAAACAGCAACAACAAAAAGCCAGCACCCAAACCCATTACTGTCTTCTTTAATTTTAAAATACAGTCATCCTTTTATGGGACATCTTCCAGGAAACTGAGAAGGAGCATTTTATCTGATCCGACTTTGCTCTAGTGACACTGAACACTGCCCTGATCATCTCTAATGTGCTAGGTTTTTCTACTTGATGACTAAGGCTGTCATCACAAAGTACCACAAATGGGGGGCTTACGCAGCAGAAATGTATTGTCTCCTGGTCCTGGAGGTGAGAGGTCTGGGATCCAGGTGGGGGCGCTGCTGGTTTCTCCTGTGCGTCTCTTCTTGGCGTATAGCCTCTGTCTCTCCCTGGGTCCTCCCCTGGTCGTCCCGTGCCTGTCTGTGTCCACATGTCCTCTTTGGACTTCAATAAGATTAGATTAGGGCTCATTCCAGTGTCCTTCCTGAACTTTAAAGTTCTCTCTTTAAAGTCATTATCTCCAAACACAGTCACCTTCTGAGGTACTAGCAGGTAGGACTTCAACATATACATTGGGGTAACACAATTCAGTTCATAACAGTTTTTTTTCTTCTTCTTCTTAATAATTTTAACTGCTCTGATTGGCACTTACACAAGAAGTGAAGTTGTAGGTTCTCAGTCCCTTTGCACGAATAAAGATGCTGCATAAATCTCAAAGTGAGTCATGTAACCTGATGAGATGGGGACTACATCTAGCAGCGAGGGCCACATTCTCCCACTCGTACGTAGTGAGCTTCCTGGGAATGGGCCGCGCAATGTAGAAGGGCCAGAGATGTCAGACTATGAGGGGGCGTTGAGTTCACCAGCAGGGATTGTTGTAGATGACTCCCTGGAAGTGGGAATACAGCTTCTGTATCCAATAGAGCAGTTCCTCTCAGGAAGTATCGTGGCGGCAGGGCTAATGGTGGTTGACAATGTACCGCACTTGTTTCTGTTTTTCTTAATTTAATTAATTTTTAAAAATTTACATCCAAGTTAGTGAGCATATAGTGCAACAATGATTTCAGGAGTAGATTCCTTAGTGCCCCTTACCCATGTAGCCCATCCCCCCTTCCCACAGCCTCTCCAGCAACCCTCTGTTTGCTCTCCGTATTTAAGAGTCTCTTATCTTTTGTCCCCCTCCCTGTTTCTATATATTTTTGCTTCCCTTCTGTTATGTTCATCTGTTCTGTGTCTTAAAGTTCTCATATGAGTGAAGTCATATGATATTTGTCTTTCTCTGACTCATTTTGCTTAGCATAATACCCTCCAGTTCCATCCATGTAGTTGCAAATGGCAAGATTTCATTCTTTTTGATTGCCGAGTAATACTCCATTGTATATAATATACATATATATGTATACATAATGATATATGTATATACATATCTATATCACATCGTTCTTTTAATTTTATTTTTAATTTTTGAAAATTTACATCCAAATTAGTTAGCATATAGTGCAAACAATGATTTCAGGAGTAGATTCCTTAGTGCCTCTTACCCATTTAGTCCATCCCCCCTCCCACAACCCCTCCAGTAACCCTCTGTTTGTTCTCTGTATTTATGAGTCTCTCATGTTTTGTCCCCCTCCCTGGTTTTATATTATTTTTGCTTCCCTTCCCTTATGTTCATCTGTTCTTTATATTAAAGTCCTCATATGAGCGAAATCATATGATAGTTGTTTTTCTCTAATTTCTCTTAGCATAATATCCTCTAGTTCCATCCACATAGTTGCAAATGGCAAGATTTCATTCTTTTTGATTCCTGAATAATACTCCATTGTATATATATACCATCTCTTCTTTATCCATTCATCCCTTGATGGACATTTGGGCTCTCTCCATACTTTGGCTGTTGTTGATAGCACTGCTATAAACATTGGGGTGCATGTGCCCCTTCAGAACAGCATACCTGTATCCCTTGGATAAATACCTAGTTGCACTTGTTTCTATTAACTATGTGTTAGATAGTAAGTTTGTTTCTTGAATATTTAAACATTTCAAATGTGTGGGGCGCCTGGGTGGCTCAGTGGGTTGAGCGTCCAGCTTTGGCTCAGGTCACGATCTTGCAGTTCGTGAGTTCAAGCCCCGTGGTGGGCTCTGAGCTGACAGCTCGAAGCCTGGAGCCTGCTTCAGATTCCGTGTCTCCTTCTCTCTCTTCCCCTTTCCCACTCATGCTCTGTCTCTCTCTGTCTCTCAAAAATGAATAAATGTTAAAAGAAATTTAATTGTTTCAAATGTACAAGAAGGTGAAAAAATACACATATGGACTCATTTCTTAATGTAATTAATTTTAGGATTTTGTCAAAGTTACCTTAGGCTCTGGTTTTTTAAAGAGTCAAGGAGTACGAAGAAATTTAGGGCAGAAGACATGAATAGACACTTCTCTAAGAAGACATCCGGATGGCCAACAGACACATGAAAAGATGCTCAGCGTCACTCCTCATCAGAGAAATACAAATCAAAACCACACTAACATACCACCTCGCACCGGTCAGAGTGGCTCAAATGAACAAATCGGGAGACTACAGATGTTGGAGAGGATGTGGAGATACGGGAACCCTCTTGCACTGTTGGTGGGAATGCACATTGGTGCAGCCGCTCTGGAAAACAGTGTGGAGGTTCCTCAAAAAATTAAAAATAGATCTACCCTATGACTCAGCTAGCACTGGTAGGAATTTACCCAAGAGATACAGGAGTGCTGATGCACAGGGGCACTGGTACCCCAGTGTTTATAGCAGCACTTTCAACAATAGCCAAATTGTGGAAAAAGCCCAAATGTCCATCAACTGATGAATGGATAAAGAAGATGTGGTTTATATACACAATGGAATACTACATGGCAATAAGAAAGAATGAAATACGGCCCTTTGTAGCAACGTGGATGGAACTGGAGAGTGTTAACGCTAAGTGAAATAAGTCAGGCAGAGAAAGACAGGTACCATATGGTTTCACTCCTATGTGGATCCTGAGAAACTTAACAGAAGACCATGGGGGAGGGGACGGAGGAAAAAAAAGTTACAGAGAGGGAGGGAGGCAAACCATAAGAGACTCTTAAGGACTGAGAACAAACTGAGGGTTGATGGGGGTGGGGGAGAGGGGAAAGTGGGTGATGGGCATTGAGGAGGGCACCTGTTGGGATGAGCACTGGGTGCTGTATGGAAACCAATTTGACAATAAATTACATTTTTAAAAAAAGGAATTTGGGGGCCCCGCCCATATCCAATACCACGTGTACCTCTCCTAGCAGGAAACGGTATTGTGAAGAGGGGACATGCTTGTCCATGTTTTATGGTTAATGCTCTATCTCTGTCCATCTATCGGTCTGTCTCTCTGTCTCTCTATCTCTCTGTCATCTAACTATGTATCTCTGTCTATATCATCTCCTATCTCTCTACAGACACACATACTCTATCTTCGGTCCACTTTGGAATTTTTACACAATTGCTATCATATTTATCTGCAAATAGATTTCTTTAGTCATCAATATGCTGTTTAAAGAATCATCTATGCTGATCCCTGTTACCTAGTTCATTAATTTCAAATGTGTATAGAATTCCTTTCCGTGGCACTTTAAATTATTTTCTAAAATTCCAAAGTATTAGTTAGGATGTAGGTTTCCCCACACAGAACAAAGGTTTGGCTGTGGAAATAATACTCGCGCACAGGTGCTGAAGTTTATAGAAATATAAGTAAATCCTCAGTTTTCCTGGATGTTACCAAATTATTCTCCAAAGTGATTCTACTTCTGCATCATTGCCCGAAAGTTTCTATTTCCCCGTACATTTACCATACTGTCAATACAAATGATGATAAAAATTACTTTTATTCCAGTCATTCCTGCTTTATAGGCAAGGTTCATATGATCTATGTGTTATGTGTTAGAAATGTGCAAGTATTTTGATTGGCTCTTGATTTTTGTTTGTTTTTTAATCAGGGAATATATTTGCTGCTTTATTAATTTGGAACTCTGCGTTTGGGAAATGAATAGCTGTATATTGTACATTTGGACCCATAAATTTAGTAAAAAAGCTAAAGGTAGTCTGCATTTTGTAGGTGCTAGCTCGTACCTGAACTTTTTTTGTCTTTCTGTTTCATTTAGGTTCTTCTGGTCAAAGTCCTCTGTTAGTGGTCTTAAGTGGGAACCACACTGAACAATCCAATTTTACAAGCAGGAGTAATCAGTTATATCTCCGCTGGTCCACCGATCATGCAACCAGTAAGAAAGGATTCAAGATTCGATATACAGGTTAGTAAGTGAGGTTTAGTTTAGCAGAAAGGTGTTTTTAATACAAGTGGTCTGCATTAGTTAAAAAAAAGTAATTTAGAGATTTGTAAAGTAAACCTAATCCCCAAAGATGAACAATTAACTCCCATAGAAACAATATGATGGGAAACTGCTCTGAGAGAGACAGATCTCTAAACTACAGTCGGGAAAACAAACCATTTATTGATTAATATTGTTTTTATATTTTTATTTATTTTTAAGAGGGGGGAGGGGAAGAGAGTCGGGGAGACAGAGGATCCGAAGCAGGCTCTGTGCTGACAGCAGAGAGCCTGATGCGGGGCTCAAACTCATGAACCATGAGATCGTGACCTGAGCCCAAATCAGGCATGTAACCGAATAAGCCACACAGGCACCCCTTGTTGAGGAATATTTTAAAAATTATTGCTAAAATCATAAAACCTTGAATTGAATTAGGGAAAGCAAAGGCATTTCCTCTAAAAGATAAAGTAATACAATATAAACTAATGTAAAAGTAGGGTTAAATGCTAAGGGAACAAACAGGAAGAGATATTCATATTGCTACTAGTTTTATAAGTGGTAATAATCTCTTAATAGCATGTCTTTTTATTGATTATCTATGTATATCTCTATATACTTGGAGACTCTATTCACATATATATACATATGTATATGAACACTTACAAAATTAATACATGTTTGCATATGTATATTTATTTGTCAACATTTAAATCATTTTGTCCTTTACCCATGTATTTTCATTATTCTCTGCCTATGTTTTTCATATTAAGTCAGTCAATATATTTATGTACACTAAATCCTGCATACATTTGTAATATGACCTAATACCTAATGTTTATACTGTCCTACCGAAGCAGTAGACAGACAATTTAAATTCCTCATATATTTTAATTACTAAGAAAAAAGTGTACACTTTTTTCAGTATCTCACTCCACCATATCCCATGGTGATAACTGAGGTACATTTCCCTAAGGAAGAAGCCCGTTAGACGCATTCAATTGAGCGATGATTCACCAGAGGATTATTGATTCCTATGTTGGTATTTTACATGGTCAGTCTGAGAAACCTCCTGAAGGGGGAACAGCAAAAAGTCATAGTAGTTTGGTTTTTTTTAAGTCTGTTTATTTTTAGAGAAGGAGAGCAGGGAAGCCAGGGAGAGGCAGAAAGAGAGAGAGACAGAGACAGAGAATCCCAAGCAGGCTCCACACTGTCAGCACGGAGCCCAATGTGGGGCTTGAGCTCATAAGCCATGAGATTATGACCTGAGCTGAAGTCAAGAGTTGGGCACTTAACCAACTGAGCCACCCAAGTGCCCCCAAAAGTCTTAGTAGTGTTTAAGATTTCAGCTCTTTTGTTGGGAGCTATGAAATCGTAAAAAAGTATCAAGATTTGAAAAGGCTCTTGATGTGCAGACAGTGGGCCTGAAACTTCCTTTATGAAGTTTAATAAAACGCACCCAGACCTCCGTTTCTCCCCCTTTCTCTCCAAGTAGTTACTCAAAATGCTTATTAACAAAGAGCTCACCATTGAAATTGCTTCCACTGGAATGAGTTACGAGAGTATTAGGGCACTGACAGGATTTGTGCTCGTCATGTTCTTTGTTTTGAAAACTAAACACCGAGCCCTTTAGAGTTGCCTAAATGTATTTCCAATGTGCAAAAATGGACAGTGCAGGGGAAATCCTAGTGAACATCACCTGTCTCCTTCTATCTCTGGCAGATTGCTTAGTAGCATGGTGATAGGACTGTACCTTGAATTCTGTCTTTCAAAGGATATTTTAATTCATTATTGAGCCATAAGTTCTCTGTTAAACTGTGTTGGGGGAGTAGGCAAATGGAGAATTTCAAAGAAGGCTGTAAATTTTTGTTTGGTCAGTGGGTATGTCATCTGACAGATGATTTTCACAGATTTGGTGATTGAGTTACTCCTGCTAGGGGTTCATCACCAGTGGTTCTAGAGCAGTGCTCACATGAGCGTTTCTCTGAAGTATAGCAGCATGGGCCGGGGAGTGCCAGCCTGTAACAGGACCACACATCGTATCTTGAGCCTCCGTCTGTCTCACACACGTGACGTATTGGTCATCCAGACACAGGAGCAATACAAGTGATCAACACAGCTTGAAACTGAAAGTAAAAAGGACAAAGCAAGTGCTGTGCAAGGTGGCTCTAGTCAGTGCAGTAAGGTGTGATGCATCCGTGCACAGTTAATAATGGGCCTTCTGTACTAAATGAAGCATGTGAGCGTCTGTGTTGGGATAAAGATGCACACTGGGTGCTCATGTACCCAGAAGTCCCCAGATATCTAACTTGCCGTCTTCTCCCATAGTGGATGCGGCCCTAATTTTCCAACAGAGTTTGGTGATTGAACATTATGTCTTTCTATATCCAGGAATCAAACAGGCAGGGCCTCATGCCCAAATCTTTCCCTTTTCGGTGCTCTACACCCCCCGCCCACTGCCCCAGGACCCTCCATATCTTGTTCTAGGTGAGTGAGGAAAGGAGATATTTTGAGAGTCTGGCAATAGAAAAAAAACATAGTAAAGAGAAGAGAAAGTGGACAGTTTTCAGACTCTACGGCGTTAGACAATCTTGCGCATTATATCCCTTAACAGAATGAACTATGACAAAAATCACAGGTAATATGCAGTGAATTCTGAGGTCTCCCTGTCCCTTCAGGGACATATCAGATGTTATCTCATCTCTACCGTTGGAACAGGGTTTTACAGTCTGCTCCTTGTTCCTATAAATTATCTTTTTGTTTTGTTTTGTTTTTGCAGCTGAAGGCCAGGGTGCCTTATTCCTTTTCTAAAATAAACATCTCTGTTGATTCAAAACTTACAAAATTTAGTGCAGAAGGAGGACATGGAAAATGGCATGGCAAATAGGGCAGTGAATCACAAGTTTCTCACAATAGTTAGTGAATTTTAACTTAATAAAAAAGAGTCCATTTAAAAAAAATGAAATGGTATTTCAGACGATCATCCAGCTGAGAATATTCTCTGAGGATGCTTCTCACAGGACCATGGTTGGACACATAGACATTGCTTCTGGGCAACGCTATGATATAAAACCTTCAAAAAGTTGCTTCTGAATTTATTTCCAGGGAAAGGTTCAACATTAAGCATTCAGACCTGTATGTGTGTTCTTTATGGAACCCCCCACAGGGAAGGAGGACATTTAAACCTCTTCTTTCAAAAGGAAACACATTTCCAGAACTTCACTGCTTTCTTTATTTTATTGTTTTGATTTATCTGAAGGGACTTAGTAGGATTATACGCTGCAACGAAACTGGTCTTGTAAGAATAAGAATACATTCTTTCTCTAAATGAACAAATAAGATGTCAGTCTTCAGCCTTTGAAATGTTATATTCTGTGTAGGTAAGACTGTTTTTTTTTAACAAATGCTTGTCCTCCATTTTAAAAAAGTTCCTTCAAAGGCAGTGATTAAGGCTCTTGTAAGATTTTTATTGACCTGGAGTAGTGCATTTTCTTCAGATTGTATTCGAATCCCATATGTTAGAATATGTTAGAAAGAAGCTTAATGTCTACGTCACTGTGCAGTGCACAAGACCCACTTAGCCACAGTGACAAGGAAAAAGTTAATAGCTGTAATTGCAGAATGTTACAACCTTCTATTTTCTCCATTTTAAGGATACTTTTCCTTTTTTTTTTTTTTTTTTTTTTTTTTTTTTTTTTTTTTTTTTTTTTTTTTTTTTTTTTTTTTTTTGAGAATTGTTTTGTTTCACATAAGGTGGCCAGTACTGGACCTTACCATTTCTAGTTCTGGTGGTCAGTAAGCTTATTTAAGTGGGTTAGCTTAAAAAGGATGAGTGAGGGAATTCAGTTTGATTTTCCCATGTATTTCCTTACAATATTTGAGCCAGAAAGTCGAGATCTCCCTTCACTCTGGGTAGCAATTGCAAGCAATCTAAACTTCAAAATAAGAGATGGAACCTTGGCTCTGGGCTTTGGGGAATTTGTTGTGTTTTTGTTGTTGTTGTTGTTGTTTGTTTTTGTTTGTTTGTTTTTTTAGACTTTATTTTTTCAGAGTAGTTTTAGGTTCGTAACATAGCAAAACTGAGGAAATGATACAGAGACTTCCCAAGTACTCCCTACCCCCACAAGCACAATGCAGGCCTCCCCCGTTATCAACATCCCCACCACATGGTGCATTTGTTATAATTAGTGAACCTATGCACACATGTCATTATCACCCAGAGTCCGTGGTTTACGTTAGGGTCACCCTTGGTGTTGTACGTTCTGTGGGTGTGGACCAATGTATCCCGGAGTGTATCCATCATTACAGTGTCATACATGGTGGTCTCACTGCCCTAAAAATCTTCTACTCTCCACTTGTTTATACATCCCGCTCATTGGCCCTTGGCAACCACTGACTTTTTAGGGTCTCTCTAGTTTTGCCTTTTCCAGATGATCATATAGTTGGGATCACACAGTACGTAGCCTTTTCAAACTGGCTTCTTTCACAGAGTGATACGCATTTAAGGTTCCTTCATGTCTTTTCATGGCTTGACGGTTCATTTCTTTTTGCTGAAGGATATTCCGTTGTCCGGATGGACTGCAGTTTATTTATCTGTCACCTACTGAAGGGCCCCTTGGTTGCTTCCAAGTTCCAGCAATTATGAATCAAGCTGCTGTAAACATTTACGTGTAGGGTTTTTTGGATGTGTGCACATACATTTTTAAGTTCTCTGAGCGAGAGAATTTTAGTTTTGTAAGGAACTGCCACCATCTTCTGAAGTGGCCATTTTGTATTCCCACAGCCAACGAATGAGACTTCCTGTTGCCCCTTACCCTTGCCAGACTTTGGTATCTGGGGATGTGTTTTAGACCAAGTCGACATATTGGTGCTGATTTCCCAGTACTTAAACAATAAAGATACCTCGTGTATATTGCTCTCACCGAGGGAACTGCAGCAGTGCCTATGTATCTGTTTACATCTGTGTGTGTTTGTGTGTCCCTAGCACCCTACTGCAGCCTGACCCACACTCCGAAGAATGGAGGCATTTTCAACAGGACCACGGGGGCAGTTGGAAGTCAAGTGCATTATTTTTGCAAGCCTGGGTATCGCATGATCGGCCACAGCAACGCGACCTGTAGACGGAACCCAGTTGGCATGTATCAGTGGGATTCTCTCGCCCCGCTCTGCCAGGGTAAGAGATGTGCTTTTTCTTCCCCCAACTCGAATTAAATTTAGTGTTCTTATTTTCACCACATTTTGACAATTACTGAAGCGGTGACTATGGCTAAAAGGTAAGGAAGAATGGAATATGGGTTCATAGAAGTACAAATTAAACTTTCCACGGACCAGGCAAACATTTCTGACATTTACACTAGGCTTGATTTAGCTTTTTCCAGCCCGAGTTCAGAGGACGGTTGAACAGTCACTAGATGCTGCGTAGAGTTATCCTCATCCTTACTTGTACCGCATTTTGAAGTAAAAAATACGTTATTCAATTTAGATTCAAAAGAGTTTTTCTTGACAGTTGTATTAATTAAAAAATCAATTACTAAAGCCCCCTTTTTAAAAAATTTAGATTAAAAACCCATTCATTGAGCCATATGCCGTATATTTCATTTTCTTTTGGTCATTTGAATTTAGGGCTTATTAAAGTTGATTTCAATATTTCATGCCTTTTTTGGTATTTTATCTGTCGTACGCATAAAAATCAAATTTCAAACAAGTCATTTTCATTTTAATTGAAGGCTTTGAAGTCATGAAATTTTCATAGTTTTGTCTTATCGAGATTTATATTCATAACGAAATATATTGGTCTTTGAGAGCTAATTATGATTTATGAATGGAGCCTCATATTGGTTTCCTTTTTTCTGTTTTTTTTTCATAGATATTAGACTTTCTGGTATTGCTCTGTGAGACAATAATGGATATTTATCACACTAAATATATGTGTCCTTGACCACAAGGAGTTAATCAGACACTTAGCTTGCATTATTGATGTTCTAGCTACTGAAATTCTTTGTAAATAATAAGACACACACAAAGTTCTAACAGCTTCTTTCATTAGGAATGATGATTTGGTTCTTTAAAAGAGTACTTTTTCTTTCTTTCTTTCTTTTTATTTTTTAAAGAGTATTTTTTTTTCTTTCAAAAGAAGTGATTCTCATTTTCTTTAAATGCTCTGTTACTCGGTCTGTGACACAGATTCTATTGCCCAGAGTGTAGCCCCGGGGGGCTATGTGTCGTTAGCACAGGGAAAGAATGCACGTGGCGATAGTCGTGCCCGAACCCCCAAAGCGGACAAGGAAGGGAGGGGTGGATCAGCATGGGCAGAAATTCCAGAATCAAGACCTCTAGAGTGTGAGTCACAAAGGAGAGCCCAGGTGGAAGCTGCCGTCAAAGTAAACAGCACTCAAAGGCACGGGGAGAGACCTTGGTGTGGTGAGAGGGACACGGGAGGGGCGACACCCCAGGCCTGGGCGGGTCCATCTTCCTGCTCTGTGAGGACTTCTGGAAACCCCTGTGTGGCTGTACACGTGGCTGCTCCAGCCACGAATGGCCGACAGGAAGAGGACAGTGTCTGCAGGCTGTTTTGCTGATACGCCGTGACCTGTCTCTCCGGCTTCCATTTCCTCCCTCAGCGGAACTGTTCGAGGCTGAATTAAATGACGCAGAAACAGGGCACCAGAGGCCAGATCCTTCGGGAATACGTGCTGTTTGGGCTGAGGGACCTGAGTGAGGGTGACCGTGCTGTGTGTTGCTTGCATTGTGCAGGACCCAGACGCAATGATGCTGCGGTGTGGGCTGTTGGAATCCCACAACGCACTTGGTGGTGGGAAATCAGATCGTCTTCCTTGAGATTTCTTCTGGGAGATCAAGGCCCCAAGTGATTGCATTCTCCATGAAGTATCATCTTCCTCCCACAAATCCAGTTTTCTACACTTTTTATTAAGTCTTCTGTTAACCAGGCAGTCAGTATGATTGTGGTCTTTCTTCCTAAACTATGACTTCTAAAACCTGGAGGGCACTTAAGAATAATCTCCTGCACTTTACTTGTGTTAAAGTATTTGGAACTGAAACACATAAAAGGTAATGTGACTTCTCAATAATCATAAAAATGTTGACCCAGAATCCAGACCTTCTGCCCAAACTTCAGCGTTGGAATCAAATTGTTTTCTGCTGAAAGGACTTCTATTGTAAAAAGTCTTGCGGGCACCGGTTCTAGAGGTAATCTATATTTTTGGTATTTGATTTCATTTACTCTGGAAGCATCTTTTATCTTTTAGTCATAGGTATCTAAAATTTGTGCAAAATAGCACCTTAATTATAATAACATACAATATATTGTCATCATATGTGAGGCTGTAATATTTAAAAATAAAAACCATGGTAGAAAGTATGCTTTTTGAGGGGCACCTGGGTGGCTTGGTTGGTTAAGCATCCTACTCTTGGTTTTGACCTCTCGGTTCATGGGTTCAAGACCTGTGTTGAGTATGGAGCCTACTTGGGATTCTCTGTCTCTCTCTCTCTCTCTCTCTCTCTCTTTCTCTCTCTCTCTCTGCCTGCCCTTACCCCGCTCACACTCATGCACCCTCTTTTTCAAAATAAATAAACTTTAAAAAAAAAGCTTTTTGAAAGACATTTAAATGATGCAGTACAATTACATAACGGTTTTATCATTTAAAAATAAAATTAAATCTTTAAAATAAATAGTAGAAATGATTTTACAGTTAAATGAAGGCCACTGAGAAAGGATCATAAAATTTTGAATAGAGTGAGCTTTGTAACATATATTGGCACTTTCTACCCTAAAGGTCGTTTACTCATGATTCAAGGGCCATTAGAGTTGATTTAGGTGAATTTAATATGAGACATAAGTGTGTAATTGTTAACAGTATTTAAGAGGGGCCAATTTGATGTGTTCAGCATTAATTATTCCCTTTCCTTTTGTTGCTTATAGAATTTAAAACTTTCACATAATATAAACACTCACTTGACTTCATAGAAAGCCATTGGCTTGTTTTTCATCTAGTCAGGTGGAGACTTTGTGGATTATTCCTCTCACATATTACATCGTCTACTCTTTTCTGTGTTAGGCTAAGAGGAGTCTCCTATCCACCCACAATTGTTGAGTATTTGTTTGTGCTCGGCTGTAAGGAAACAAAATGAATGTTTCCTCCCTTCAAGAGAATCACAGCCTCACCATGAAAAGAGATTGATAAATTATGGCAATTACCATCACATATATCATGACCTAAGTTATATATCATTAATTAAACAGCATCCTCCTTCAGGGGCATATAGAAATCTTTTTAGATGGATGCCTCTAAAAAGTAGGATCAGAGAAAACTTACCAACAATTGTAACATCAAAAAGATTGTTTTAGGCTAAATTTGAAAATACTTGAAAAGTAAAACACAAGATTATCCTACATTTATTGGGATTTTCCTTCAGTGTTAAAATACAAATACTAAAGGAAACCTATTTTCTACTTGGTTGTTGGTATTTTTATTTATTTATAATTAAATTTACAGTGGGAAATATATTCTATTTAGAGAAATTTTCACTTTCAGTTTTATGATAATTGAGGATAATTTCAAGTTTTGTTCTGTTTTTTTTTAAACTAATATTTTGGTCCAAAGAGAGTTAGTATAGAGGTGGATTATCGCCATCTAACAATCCTGAATTTTGACAGTTCATCACTGTAAATCATGAAGTTAAAGACTGGGTGAGCTTTTTCTTTAAAATGCTCTGAATTCTATTCAGGAAAACAACTTGCACAAGCATAAAGGTACACGTTTTTACCTCCAGAAACTACAGAACTTTCAAACACGCTCTTACAAATTGAAGTAGATATATAGTCATACCATATATGTTTACACAACAAGTATACAACTCGTGACATGTCTGTTTTCAGACAGACGCAGAGTGACGCTCATCACGACTGTGTTTGTAGCTCAGGGTCATAGATGGCAGGAGTAAAACCTAAGACAAGCATTAAGGACTCTACACCCACTTCCAATTCAACCCAAACATGTCTCTGGATTAGGCACTGCACGTACCGAGGCACATTCCCGACCCTTCAATCTCTGATGGTCCAGCGGGAGACACAGATTTGGGAGTCAGTAAGTACAGTTCAGTGTGGCATTCAGCGAGAGCAGATGTGCACTGAGTAGAAGTCGTAGCGAAGACCAGGGATATTTTTCCCGTCACTGGACACGCGGGTTGGAATTTGCAGGGAGTGAGGAAAACATGGAGCGGCAGGCAGGGCCCCGCGCAGAAGGCCTTGCCTGCAGGTTTCTGTGGCCTTCACGGCCTCTCCTGCGGTTGATGCCAATGTATTGGAGAGCTGTGGGCTCTGATCACAAGGTACAGTCATACCTGCATTTTAGAAAGACGGGTCTTGTAGTCGCCTGGCGGCAGGTGGGACAGAGTCTTGTCTGGGATTCAGGGGGGCCTAGAAGTCTGCACTGTGTGCGGGGCAGTGGTCGAGTCCTTGGAAATATGGTGGAAATAGGTCTGTGAGGAAACAGGTAACTGTCTTCTTGGCAGAGCATGTCAAGGGTTGGAAAGAGGCGTCTGCCACGACCTGTATTTTGGTTTCCTTTGCTGGGAGTCTTGCAATATGACTCACTGCATATGGGCCCTGGGAGGGAAGGAGGCTCACAGGGCCAGTTCTGATGTGCTGCCTGCCGGGTGGCTGTGGGAACTCCGTGCCCCAGTCCAGGCTGGCGCTCCAGGAAGACTGAGTCCTACCCTTATCAGCAAGGGTGCCACAGTTGCATTCATTCAAGATATCGGGCACGTCATTGTTTGTTTTCCACGAGAGAAGACACTACTCTAGGCTCTGGAGGGACCAAATCAAATGAATAAAATTATGCCTAAAAAGTGCACGTGCTGTCGTAAGTTTCAAACTGAATCACCTCCACCACAGAACAAGCGCTATCTGAGATGTGGAACCGGGTGGCACATTGCGTCACCAGCGGCTGTAAATCCTGTAGCCCACCCTATCAGAGGTCTTGGAGATAACTGGGAACTTAATTAGTGGTGCGAACGTTGAAATATTTTAAGACTTCTACCAGATTCAGAGATCATCGGGTTATTTTCATTATTCTTATTTGAAAATGGTGGACTCGGGGCGCCTGGGCGGCTCAGGTGGTTGAGCATCAGACCTCGGTTCAGGTCATGACCTTG